ACCGAGGAGGTGAAGGTTAAGCAAGAGGGGGATGATCTAACAGCGGCGGCGGAGAGAGCGGAAGTTAGGCGAGATGAAGAGCGACTGAGGGCCGTAAGAGTCATTTATTTAGCCTTTTTATTTTCACGAAGAAAGTTGGGGGGCTCGGTTGTTGCTGGTGAATTTATTTTGTTTTTGTTTTTGTTTTTTTTTTAAATAATGTCAAGAATTAATAAAATAAGAAAGAAAGGAAGGGGGAACGAAGGCGGCAGGTGGTGAATAGCTGGGGGGTTTTGATTGCGCGAGGGCGTGCGTTAAAGGTGTTACGTACGCGAGAGAGGGGAGCGTGGGAGGTGACGCGTGGTGAGCGCCAGCGCGCAGGGGTGATTTGGGAATTTACGACTTGTTGCGCAAGTCAGCGGGAGATTGGTTCATTTCACTTCATTTATGGTGGGGCCCGAGGAATAGGCATATTTGGGACTGTGGGCCAATGGAATAGTAGATATATTTGTTTTGAAGGACAACTCCAACCGGTGGCACTAGGGCACACCCCAACGACATCCTCTCTCTCGTTGCTACCGTGTATCGGATCTCATATTAGATTTTAAAATTTAAAATCCCATACGGGGTTCGGTATACTGTAGCAAATGAGAGGGTATGTGTGGTTGGGGTTGTGGTTAGAGATGTGCCCCTGTCATAATGGGAAATGGGACGCGCGTCGCTGGCCAAATAGATGTTTTTTTTAAAGGAGAGATTAGATGCTTTACGTTTATTTATTGCAAAACAACGAGGTTTGTAAATTGTGTTTTTTTCGATATTAGTTCCTTAAAATCTTCAACTCTTTCATATATTCAATTTGTCCCTCAAATCATTAAAATTTCTCCCCGGCCTCTTAAATTAAAGGTTATTTTAAAATTAGTCCCTCAAATCATTGAAACTGCTTTTGGGTCCACCAAATTTTAAGCTATTTTGAAATTAATTAAGAGTTGGAGAATCAATAGCAATTTCAATGACAAATATATTAATTTTAAGGACACATTTTTAAAAACGTCCGTTTTTAAAAATGTTGGATGCTTTGTTCATGAAAAGACAATTTTGCTTTTGTAAATAGTCTCACATTGGAAAATGAGATGAATAGTATAGGGTATATAATGGTTCTCTTCTTATTGGGCTTTGAATAGTATTTTGGGTTTTGTGGGCTTTGCATATCTATCTCACACACGCGCGCGCGCACGCACGCCACGCCCGCACGCGCCACGCCGCACTGCACATACACACATTTTTGCTTCTCAAGCTTTTATTTTTGCACGTTTTACACGTTTTGTAACCGCAGCATGTGGGTAACAGAAGCAAGATTTGTGCGTAATGATCCCTTGGATTCAGCGGGGGTTACACTTCTCCTCGCCTATATAAGCAGGCTTGGAGCTCATTCAGAGGCACACCAACGAAGAGAAGAACAACTTCTAAGCTCTCTTCTTTCTCTACTCTCATTTTTCCAAGAAATTTTCGGCTACATATTTACATTTATATTTTGGGCAATCGTTTTTATCTGAGCATAAGCTCTGTGACTCACGCCCGAGTGCAGAGACCGGCCGATTTTGGGGGTTTTTATCACTAGGGGAGAGGGGACAGATTGCGCCAGGGCGATAGGCGGGTCCTCAATCTTCTAGGGCAGTGACATCACGACTGTTCCCGATCAGGCCTGAATTTTCTAACTCTTTAATTTGGATTTTATATTATTATATTCCTGTTTTAACAACAATTTAGAAGATTAATCAAAATTTCTTGCTGTTAATTTAAATCAAAAAAAATATTTACTGTTCATCGAGATGATTGTTCACCCGAATCTTCATATATTGTAATTACTTGTTGTATTAGTTAATTGTTTTAATTTGTTGCATCTAAATTAGTTAAAAAAAATTTCTTTGCTGCTTCTGTACTCAATTTCTGCATCTGTCACTTTTCATATATATAGTAAAGAAACAAAAAATCTTTAAGTGAACCGGTTCAAGTTTTCTTGGATTAGTTGGTGTCTAAGGCAATGTTTAAGGGTTGTGTAAAGCGCTCTGCAAGAAACGAGGTACTTAATAGATCTTTGATCAACCTCTAGTACTATCCTTACCTGGCCAAACTACCCGAGTAAAACTTTAATCTTTTCACTTTTAGAGTTTTTGGTTAAGAGCATGTTTAATTAAGTTTCTGGTCTAGAAGTATTGATAAAATCCTGTATTTGATCAGAGTACATCTACCTAGACTAGTAAACTCAAATTGGACTTATGACAATTCCTGATCATTCAAAAAGTGTCAAACCTGAGAATTTCACCGGTGTCAACTATAAACGGTGGGCTAATCAGATGAAATACTGGCTCACTACCTTAGGTCTTTTATCTACTATTGACACTCCTCAGTCTTCTACTAGTGGTTCTCAACCTTTGACTCCTGATCCTGCACAGCATGCTCCTTCCACTTCTGGTTCTGGTGATAGCTCCTTTTTTAGCTCTATGAAACCAGAAAAAATCAACTATCATTGTTGTCATAGGATTCTTAGTACACTTGCGGACAACCTTTATGACATATACTATGAGTTCAAAAGTGCAAAAGACCTATGGAATGCTCTTGAAGCAGAATATGGCTATGATGATGCAGGAATTCTGCGTTTCACATCCTCCTCCTTCAATAAGTTCATGATGGTTGATGATAAGCCCATTAATGAACAAATTCATGAATTCCTAGATTTCCTCCGTCATCTCCAATCAAAAGGAAACACTTTTACTGACGATTATAAAGTTTCCTATTTGATTGATAAACTTCCTCCCTCCTGGTCTAGATTTGCTGGAGATCTCCGACACAAGCAAGAAGATCTAACCTTAACTGAAGCCCTCAAGGCTATTCGTATTGAAGACCAGCATAGGCAAAATTCCAACACCAAGAATAAAACAAAAGCTAAAGTGAACTTGGTAGAGGATAAGCCTAAATCTAGGAATTTCAAACCCAAAGGAAAGAAATTCAAGAAAAATCAACAATCTTTCAACAAATCTTCCTTCAAACTAAATCCCAATTCTTCCAGCCATAAGTCTGATGGAAAGTTCTGTTTTGTCTGTGGTAGAACCAACCACATGGCTCCCAACTGTTTCTTTCGGAAGAAGGAATTGGCTAAACCTGCTCCTAAAGGAAATAGATCCAACAAAGTTAATATGATTGAAATGAATCCAACCTCTTTCAGGTTAGCCTCTTCATCTCGTCTTGTAAATTCTCTAACTTCTTCCACTGATTGGTATTTGGATTCTGGAGCAAATATCCACGTCTGTAATGATCACTCTTGGTTTTTAAATTATCAGGAATCAAGTGGAGGAAGCATAAGCTTAGCAGATGACTCCACTAAATCAATAATAGGAAGTGGACTTATAGAGCTCACCATGACTTCTGGGAAAGCTCTTCATCTGCAAGGCGTTTATCATGTTCTTTCTCTCCGTCGCAATCTGATTAGTGAATCTCTTCTTCTTAGAGATAGTTATAGGATTGCAAAAGAATCTAACAAATTTGTGATTACAAAGAGTAATGTTTTCATAGGAAAATGTTTTATCTGCAATGGCCTTTTCAAACTCAATGTAATCAATTCCAGTTCTAATGAAATTTCTGAGTCTTTTGTTATACAAATTGTTGAGAATCTTGTGATGTCTGGCATGGACGACTTGGACATGTCAATTTTCAAACCTTGCAGAGAATGAGTAAATTAAACCTTATTCCCAAATCTTCTTATGATACCTCATCTAAGTGTGAAATCTGTGTTCAAGGGAAACACACTAAAAAACCCTTCAAGTCTATAACTAGAAACTCCGAACCCCTCGAATTAATTTATAGTGATGTATGTGACTCAAACTGAGTTCTCACCCGAGGGGGTATGAGGTATTTTGTGATTTTTATAGACGATCACTCCAGATATTGTTACACCTATCTTCTCAAAACTAAAGATGAAGTCTTAGATAGGTTTAAGATGTACAAAGCTGAATCTGAGAACCAACTTGACAGGAAGATCAAGATTCTAAGATCTGATCATGGGGGAGAGTATACCTCAAATCATATGACCGAATATTGCCAAGAACATGATATTATTCATGAGGTTACTGCTCCTTATACACCATAGTCTAACGGTGTAGCTGAACGAAAGAATAGAACCCTAATGGATATGGTGAACTATATGTTACTCAGTTCAGGAGCACCTAGAAATCTCTAGGGTGAAGCTCTTCTTTCTCCTTACTTCATTCTCAATATGATTCCCCAGAAAAATTCTGATACAACTCCTTATGAATATTGGAAGGGGAGATCTCCTAATATGAATTTCTTCCGGGTTTAGGGTTGCTTGGCTAAAGTAGCTATTCCCGAACTTAAGAAGAGAAAAATTGGTTCTAAGACTATAGATGCTGTTTTTATTGGATATGCACTAGATAGCAATGTTAACAGATTTCTAGTCATCAACTCTAAAATCAGTGACATATCCAACAATACCATCATTGAAGCAAGAGATGCAGTCTACTTTGAAAACATCTTTCCTTTCAAATCTAAAATCTCAGAAAATCCCAGATCATCCATTCGTTCTAATCTACCATCCTCCAGTTCTTCTCAACCTCTTGATATTGAACCTCGAAGAAGCAAAAGAGGTAGAATCAAAAAGGATTTTGGAGAAGACTTCCTTACCTTTCTTGTTGAAGGTGATCCAAGTTCATTCCAAGAAGCAATGGATTCACCTGAATCTCTTTTCTGGAAAGAAGCCATTGATAATGAAATTAAATCTATCATGAAAAACCATACTTGGATACTCACCGACTTACCTCCAGGTTGTAAACCTATTGGTTGTAAGTGGATATTCAAGAAGAAACTCAGAGCTGATGATTACATAGATAAATTTAAAGCTAGATTAGTAGCTAAAGGCTATACTCAACAAAAGGGCATTGATTATTTTGATACCTATTCTCCTGTAGCCCGAATCTCAACTATCCGA